GATATATGTTTACAAGTCTTCACCACCTCCTCCGTATGTTTATAGTTCTCCTCCACCTCCACCATATGTTTACAAGTCTCCACCACCACCTCCTTATGTCTATAGCTCTCCACCGCCTCCTCCATATGTTTACAAGTCGCCACCTCCTCCTCCTTATGTTTATAGTTCTCCACCGCCTCCTCCATATGTTTACAAGTCTTCACCACCTCCTCCGTATGTTTATAGTTCTCCTCCACCTCCACCATATGTTTACAAGTCTCCACCACCACCTCCTTATGTCTATAGCTCTCCACCGCCTCCTCCATATGTTTACAAGTCGCCACCACCTCCTCCTTACATTTATAGCTCTCCACCGCCTCCTCCATATGTTTACAAGTATCCCCCTCCTCCTCCATATGTCTACAGCTCTCCACCGCCTCCTCCATATGTTTACAAGTCTCCCCCTCCTCCTCCATACGTCTACAAATCTCCACCACCACCTCCGTATGTGTACAAGTCGCCACCACCTCCTCCTTACGTCTACAACTCTCCACCACCACCTCCGTATGTCTACAAGTCGCCACCACCTCCTCCTTACATCTACAACTCTCCACCACCACCTCCGCATGTCTACAAGTCGCCACCATCTCCTTCTTACATCTACAGCTCTCCACCACCACCTCCCTATGTCTACAAGTCGCCACCACCTCCTCCTTACGTTTACAAGTCTTCACCGTCACCTCCAAGCTATAGCTATAGCTCTCCCCCTCCTCCAATATACTAACCAAACATATACATGATGAACCGGATTTTTTTAAAAACGATATATTCGTTTAGAGATCAGCCATCATATTCATGGAATAAAATTTTCCTTTCTATATTTTCGTAAATAAGAAATGCATTATTTGGTTTGGACCCATGTGCATTTTGTTGTTTGATCGTTGCTTTTAGTGTTGTTGTCCTCTTTAAGAGATCAATATTCTTGTCGTCCATTTGTAACTATTTAACAATCGTAATAAATTTTATTGAGGTTTAAATCTATCTATTAATCTTGGCGCCTCTCGAAGTTTGCATGTTTAAGTTAAATATTTTCATAGTTCTAGATTATGATTATGGAAATTGAAAGCTGATATATCGCAGTTTATATACAAAAGATTACTAGAACATTGAAATTGAAGTGTACGTGTATAATTAAAAGTCAGTATAAGGATCGCGCGCGATTCATTCTCGTCAACAAGAATAGGTAGTAGCTATGGAGAGGAGACATTTAGTCTTGGTTTAGAACTACTGTTTACCAATTAAGTGATAGAGAAGTGGGAAAGAAACTTCTTAAACTGACGTCGAATTTGAATTGACATTACAACTTCAAACTCGTCTACCTATTTAAATATGTAATATGGTAATTAAGGGCTAATCACCAAAGACATATATAGTCTTCTCTAGTTTTTCTTTAGACAAAATCTTACGCTAATTTGACTTATTAACAAATATATAAAACTATTTCTCTAAGAAGCATTCATAAACTACAATAAAAAAAAAGATATTATAGTTGTCGTGTATATAGAAAAACTGGTTCCTATCTATTACGACCATTCAAAACTAAATTGGTAAAAAGAAATCAGACTGATAAAAGGTGAGACCTAAAGACTAAGAGCAAACAAGTTTAGTCGACATGACCAATCTTCAAAATTGGCCATCTTCACTTGTGTTGGTTTTGATCTTGTATGCAGATTGATCCCTTATACAAAATGTCTAGTACACATTACGATCACCACAAAACATTATTGGAGACAAGATATTTCTCACCTATTATAGATTTTTTTTTAATATAATTATGTAACTGAACTCGGCCCAAACGTAACATATTAACACGGCCCTTCGATATTTCATATAGTATTATAAATTACCGTCAACAATAAAACGACATGCAGTTGCTTATTGAAGTGATAAAACGACAGAAACAGTGTTAAGAAAACCAACGTTTTAAGAAGAAACCCCGACCCGGTTCTTAATTAACCTAACCCAGTCTTCTTATAAAATGCTTCGTCCATGAGTCCGTAACCCAACCAGCCGTCAAAACCATCCTTCTCAATTCATTCATCGATTTATTTATAGGATCGTATCGTAAAGTTTGTTGATTTATGTGTGTGTTGCCCTAAAGGTTGGATCTTTATCTTTTTTTGCTTGCAATAGTAATCAGAGCACCGTATAGCCCCTTGCATCTTTGAGTTTTATAGATGCAAGGAACAAATCGAGAAAAGGGTACTCTATTGGTGCAATATTTTGGCTTTTACGCTTCTTTTGTTGGGTTGTTCAATAGTTGATCTTCTCAGAATTGCGTATTGACCAATAGTAATTTGGGTTTTTGAGTGCTGATGATTGTATTGTTAGGAAAACAGAGCATGATGATGAGAAAATTTGCCTCTGAATTCAAAATTCATGTTGATATAATTATTATACAACCTTCAAAGTTCTCTGAATTGCTCTGTTGTCTCTTTTTTAAATCCGTTTTTTTTTTTTTTTGCTGTTTGTGAGTCAGAGATCTGTATCTGATTCAATAAAATTAGTTGGTTATGCTTTTTAGTTTTTAGTTTTCCTCAGAATTGCTCAATTTTTGATTTGCACCTAAGAAAATCATAGTCTGTTTTAACTGATTTAATGTTTCAGACTACACGAGCATGGTGCTATATGAAATTTCTTCTATGAGTAGTTCTCGTGCCATATTTAGCACTTTGCTTTCATATATGGCTCAAACTTTGGAAGAGTATATGATTTTGTTTTGTATAAACACTATCAATTGTTTCAGATTTAACGCAGATACTTTCAGATTCAACCAGATTCACTTGTTTCTCATGACTTTGAAAGTATCAGAGAATTGAATTGGCCACATTAAATTTTGAGCAAAATCGATATGGAAGACGCTTAAGCAAAAATGTCTTGAATTTGACATATGCTCTCCTTTTGAGAGCATTACTGACCAAATACGTATGAACAAGAGATGGCTTATACTATCAAAGTATTTTCATGGGGATATTCAAGGGTCTTACTCACCAATGTAATAAGTTACAGAACACCAACATCAGCAAAATTACAAGACTTAGTTCTGTAGGACATCTTAAATTGATTTAGCTAAAAACATTTCCTCAAATGTTCAATTTGCTTCCTGTTGTGTTTTTCCACCTAATTGGTTAACTTGATTGCAAGCCTAATTGGTTAACTTGATACCTTTAATCGACTATGCAATCTCAATAGGTGACTATTTATGTGATGTGACTAAATTAGGTGACTACCTTGATTGATACTCTTCTTTTTCAACTTCAATTTCTCATGGAATGGATACAATAGAACATTCATTCAAACTAAATGCGATTCTTTGACAGTGTTTATGACTTATTGTCGCTTTGAAAGCATTTGCAAGTGACTAATCAAAGACAACATGTTCCTAATGTACCTCATATACCTGAAAATTTGAAAGAACTAAAGACCCTTTTGAGTGTTAAATGGGTTTCTTCTTCTGTTGGGCTCGGCCCAACAAAATTAGTTCCAATAACTCGGAACGAGGAGATATGACATCTTTTTCCCACCTTATAATCTTGTTACTCACAGAAGCTGATAATTTTTTTGTAGTCCTTGCTCGTTTTAACGGCAATGGCTTCCTCACTCTCTGCGTTGCCTTTTTCTGATCGAACTTTCCGTAAAAAGCCTTCTTCTTCGAATTTCTTCCTTAGAGCAAGAGCTGCTGCAAAAGAAGTTCACTTTAACCGTGATGGCGCTGTCACCAAGAAGCTTCAGGTTCTCTCCTTCTTCTTTCAGGCCTTCTTATAGAATTTCGTTTTCTTATGATGGAAAATGGTGGTGAAGGCAGGTGCAGATATGGTCGCTAAGCTATTAGGCGTGACATTAGGTCCAAAGGGACGAAACATAGTGTTGCAGAACAAGTACGGACCTCCCAAGATCGTCAATGACGGTGAAACTGTTCTTAAAGAGGTTTCACACTTTCCTTTATAGTCCCACACGCTTCTGATGGTCGATGAAATGGAAAAAACCATAATTACCTTTTATTGTGTGGTGTAGATTGAATTGGAGGATCCTTTAGAGAATGTTGGCGTGAAACTTGTGAGGCAAGCGGGTGCTAAGACTAATGACCTTGCGGGTGATGGTTCCACTACATCTATAATTCTTGCTCATGGCCTTATTACTGAAGGTATTAAGGTATACAGATTCCCATTATGACCAATTGGATAATGTATCACCATACCAGCTTCTACTTTTGAACCCATTTTCTCATCTTCAGGTGGTTTCTGCTGGAACAAATCCCATCCAAGTGGCCCGTGGTATTGAGAGAACCGCAAAAGCTCTTGTTTTAGAGCTCAGGTCAATGTCCAGAGAGGTGAAAGATCCCTGCCTTTGAACCCTTGAGAGTACTCATGAGAATGGAGTAATTAGTTAGCCTTAATGGAAAAAACCGCGAACTTCGTGTTTGCAGATTGAAGATCATGAGCTTGCTCATGTTGCAGCAGTTAGTGCCGGGAATGACTACGAAGTTGGAAACATGATTTCCAATGCTTTTCAACAAGTAGGAAGGACTGGTGTAGTAACAATAGAGAAAGGAAAATACCTAGTGAACAATCTTGAGATTGTCGAAGGAATGCAGTTTAATCGTGGTTATTTATCGCCTTACTTTGTCACTGACCGAAGGAAGAGGGAAGCTGAATTCCATGATTGCAAGGTCTGAACCAAAACCTCTTAAGTTTTTTTCTGGTTTGCTTGCAATACCAATGGCTAAGAGTATACCTTCTTTGTGTTGTTGTAGCTGCTTTTAGTTGATAAGAAAATAACCAATCCAAAAGACATGTTCCAGATATTGGATTCTGCTGTTAAAGAGGCCTTTCCAGTTCTTATAGTTGGCGAAGATATTGAGCAAGACGCTCCTGCTCCTGTTATTAGGAACCAACTAAAAGGTAATCTGAGCGTGGCAGCCATATAAGCTCCTGCCTTTGGGGAGCGCCAGAGTCCTGCTTGGATGATCTTGCCAT